TCTCTCTCTCTCTCTCTCTTTCTTTCTTTCTTTCTTTCTCACTCACACTAAATGAGATAATCCACGATTAAATCATTGACGTAATCTAAAAGAATTTATAAATACATTAAATTTGAACGTCAAATGTTTATAATATTGATTAACGATTTAATAAATAAAATATTTTTTACAATAAGAAAGAAGTTCATGTTATTTATTTAAAATATAATTTAGTATAATTTTAATTTTCATTTGACAATTTATATCTAGGTATTTAATATATAACTAAATATCTACTGTATATAAATTCCAATAATTACAAAATATTATAAAATATAACTTTCAAAATTATAATAATTCATAAAGTTATAGCAATTTTGCAAATATAATTTAAATATCATAATTATATAAACACAGAAATAATTCCGTCGTCTTGTGTTTGATTAGCCGTCTTATTAGGAGAGAGTACCGGTGCTCGACTGGATGGGGGTCTGGTAGTAGTGGCAGTGAAATTGAGTCCACTCACGTCCACTGGTATTAGCACCGGTTGCTCACCATTATTTGCATTATTATTATTGTTGTTGTTTCCAGGATTCTTGTGATTGAGAATATTCTGCAAATACTGGAGTCTATTCTCTTTGACTCGTCTAAACCAAGTCCTCCTATTCCCCAAATCCCGTCTCAAACTCTGGATTTCATTCACTATTCTCTGCACATCAGGTGATGTCGACGACGTGTTTGAGTTAACTATAATTAAAATGTTTTACAACACATATTGTATTAATTTATATCTATTAGTTTTCACATATATTGTAATTGATTACCAGAACTACTATTATTAGTAGTGTTATTCGGGTTTCCTATAGTGTTCACCCATTGATTGGCAGTATTTATACCGAAATTAAACCATTGGCCCGCAGTTTCCACACCTAAACTGAACGCATTTGATGCCGTTGTTAAGGCTGTCCAATAGTTTAAGTAGTAATTAATTTTAAATTTATCAAATTTTATACTTGTATTTTATATTTAATTATAATAAATAAGTATTTACTGTCTACTTTTCAAATTATATAATAAGAAATGAATAATAAGATACCTTCTTGAATCCAATTCAAAGGAGATCTGGTCAGCACTCCCAGACATCTAGTCGTACCATTCAATTTGGTGTTATTTTGACAATTTATGGCAGACAAAAGGATTAATATAATTAGTGTTTTAAACATAATTTTATATATAAGTAAAAATATAAACTATTTTTTAGTAAAATGGAAATAATCAATTCCTCTATAACAAATTGTTCTGGTTAATAAAATTTTCTCATGTGCCAGTATATTTAAATCTGACGTGGATATTATTAATTAATTTCAATGATTATGGCCTACATTATAAATTGATAGATATTTTATAGTTCTTGAATATTGAACACTTGCATATGAGTGCAAAATATTATATATTAAAAACACATTTTTGACAATGAAAGTCAGATGATATTTTATAACCATTTTAAACATTTTGTTTTTCAAATAAGGATTAATTGTTTTATTGTTTATAATTTTTAATAATTAATTAGCTTTATATATTAACCAGATGTCATGATTAATGATTTTTAAAATTTAAATTCAAAACACAATATTTTTATTAATAATTTATAATAATTTTGCATTAAAATATATTAGTTTATTATATTTAAAATATTATTTAAACAATTTTGATATATAATTATTAAAGTATAATATAAATTTTATTATGATTTTAATAAAATAAAATTATATTTAATAATTGGTTTAGAAGGAGACTTCGGGAGTTCCCACAGAGATATCGCCGGATGCCGAGCCATTCACTGAACCTCCCAATGATCCCAATGAACCGACAGCCTTACCAATAGCACCCTTGGCACCACTCACACCATTACTCAATTGGCTTTCCAAACCTTTATTGCCATCAAATATATGTTTTAGTTTATTATAATTACTTCTGAAATTCAACTAAAATTGTAAATACCTGACACGGTTTGTTGAGTCTGGTCCACAGCACCCTGGACCTTTCCTTGCGCATCACTTGCCAATTGCTTTCCGTTTGATAGGACACCTGATATCAACAAAAATAATCATTTCAATTGTAATTAAATGCAGTATTACACAACAAATATGGTCACCTGAGAGTGTTTGTTGAGCCTGGTTCACACCATTTTCTGCTTGTCCTGGTAGACCACTCAGAGCACCTTTTCCTTTTGAAGCAAGTCCTGTTGTGTATGGAAAGGGGTGTTTTAATTTGTAAATGTATAATTTGTTCTGTTATGACATTACCAGAAGCAATATTAGACAATTTCCCACCGATTTGTTTACCCTGTGAAGCCATACCTGTTGAATATGCAAACGAGTGTTGTATTAAATCTAATATACTTTTATTGCAATTAATAATGCTTACCGGACACAACACCAGGCAATTGACCGGCGAACTGTCTGCCCTGATTGGCCAAACCAGTTGCCAAACCTAATCCATTGTTGGCGCCATTTTGAACAGTTGTACCAATTCTACCTATACATACACAAACAATTGCCATTATATTAATTATGTTATCTTATGTCTAGTTATATACCGAACAGTCTTTTGCCCTGATCCTGAGCCTGTTGACCAAATTGGGACAATTGACCAGGCAGTCTCTGCAATTGGCTCATACCATTAGTTGCTGTCCCTTGCAATTTACCAAGAACATTTCTTCCTTGGGCTATTTTAATATCAAAATTACGAATTATATAAGTTATTAATTATATAATATGTATGCTTGGAAATTCAATATCTTACATTGAAGTTGACCCAAACCTTGTTGACCCAAATTTTGCAGTCCGCTGAAAAGATTTTGTCCTTCAGCTATAAATTGTTTTTATTATTAATGTTAATTTATATAATTCACTTCTCAAAGCTTACACTCAAACTGACCCAGACCATTCATGAGCTGATTAGGGAACTGTGAAGCTCCGTTAAGTGCGCCTGTTATGCATTTAATGGATATTATATATAAATATGACAGTATAAGGATACTCTTAGATGGTTTACCTTGAAACCCCTGTGAGAGACCACCTAATTGTTGAGGGAATTGAGTCAAAAGACCCATTCCTTGCTGAGCAAATTGGGGCACAATTCCTGACAATGCAATCATTTAAACAAATTAGATACATTTAGAAATATGAACAGGTAACAGGTTGTGTGTGATTACCGGCCATGTTTTGGAATGTATTGAATCCCTGTCCAATGAGACCAGAGAAGGCATCCTCAGCGCCCTGAAGCCCACCGGCCAGTGCCTGACTTCCCTGTTGGGCAACGTTTCCAAACTGTTGGATAGCAGTGCTGGGAATGTGAAACAGTCCAGTGAACATGTCTGAGAGACCTCCCAATCCCTGTCCAGCCTGTCCCAGACCTCCTGTTAAAGCACCCAATCCTTGTCCAGCCTGTCCCAGACCTCCTGTTACGACACCCAATCCCGGCAGTCCGACCTGTCCGTTGCCAGTTGTGCCCACACTGACAGATGCCCGACCATTACCAGGACGTACCTGTCCATTCACATTACCCCTCATACCCGTGTTGAAGGAGGCTCTCTGTGCGGACACGACTCCCAACACAACGGCAATCAATAATGTTTTAAACATTTTTATCTGAATTGTGATAATAATGAGAATCTGAATAAATGGGAAATTGTGTGCTTTTATCATATATTTATACCCTTTAGTACACGTGTTCTAAGGGCTCATACCATGGATTTTTGAATCTAAAGGTAGATTAGGAGACAGTTTATTAAATACTAAACGGACTCTTATTTGCGTCAATTGTATTGTGAAACACAATGTACAAAAAAATCTGTTTTGAGATTTATTAACTTAAGTAATTTATTATATAACTTGTTTAATCATTTTATATAAATTCTATTAATTTTTAAAAGTCACTTGATTTTACCATTTGTATAAATGAAGTAATTATAAATTGCATTGTAAGGATATGTCATAATAAATAAGCAAACACATTTTGTTTTAGTGTGTCAATGATTTAAGAATTATGAATACTGTATAATAAAATTGAAAGGTGATTTTTTCAGGATTTAACTTATAATTAATTGGTTTGTTTTCGTGTCGTTTTATACAGAGTATATATACAATTTAATTTATATACCGGTATATAATTTTTTGAATTATTTAATATTATTATAATTAACATTAATTCAAACAAAAGAATATAAGAGTATTTCTAATAAGATTAAATAACATGCCAAGTAAATTTTAATTATTTAAATTAGAAAATTAAATAAATAAGTTATTTATTAATACAAGAATACTAACAAATATTAAAATATGTATTATTAGTAAATAAATTATTTGTAAGATTTTATTTTAAAAATTTCAACTGATTTTTATGAAGTTAGCTGTTTAATTACTAATGGATGTTTATTCCCGATAGTTGGGAAGTAAAGTGAAAATAAAAATACTATCATTTGTAGATTATACTGATTATACATTAGTAATAAAACGTAATTTTACACAATGAACAAGTAGAAGATAATTTTTAATGTTTAAATTAAATAACAAACATTTTAAAAGACTATATAAACATGATTTTCTTAAATAAATACCAATAGTTATATTTTTGTATATGTCAAGGAAATGTATAAAACATTTTAGTGAAAATCAATTTAGTAACAGATAGGTGGGTGCAAAATTAATGAATAAGTATATTCTTTATATGGAGAGTATATACTCTGGTCATTAGGAAAACACAAATTAGTATTAAACCGCACATAAAAACCTACTTGTCTTACAGTGCTATTGAATTCAAACATTGATTCAATTGTAGAGAACTTTCATTGTTTTACATTATAATATGTAGATGTAACTTATAAGTAATTTATTATTTTATGGACCCTTAAATACGTGTTTTTGTGTTTGCTGACACCCAATGACCATGATATATTTGTTTTCATAATAATTTATTTGATTCAGAAATAAAAAGTTAAAACGTAATTATATACTATTTAATTAATTTCTACAAATATAAAATTATATTAATTTATACTTAAATTAAATAATTTTTCTGAAAATGTCATTTTATAGAAAATTATAATAAATATAAAATAACGTATATATAAAATATTTTATTTAAGTTAAAGAGTTATAAAGTTATAAGAATAGCATTTTACCGGTATAAATAATATTATATTTACTTTTTAAAGAAATAAAATATCTGTATTTACAGAACATATAGTATAGCATATAACAAGCAATTACAGTATTATATATTTGCGGGATACAGTATTTTTATTTATACGTAATTTTGAATAAATTATTTGCAAATTAGGAGCGTTTGATAGGAAGTGAAGATATTTAGTAATTGAAAGTTTAGGTGAATCTCATGTTTACAACACTCTGACAGCGGGCACAGGGGTCACACTATAGTTATAGGTGTAGGAGTCGCCAGTGCTGCCTATTTTATTGGTACCCGTCCCGATGGCACCCTTGTTTACACCAGTGTTTATGGTAACACCAGAGTTGGCCGAGAGGGCGCCGTTCAGTTTGCTTTGCATATCGCTTAACAGTCCTCCCAATTGGTTGGCGTCAACACCGGCGCCATTGCTCGACCACTGGGCCGACCACTGACCACCCTTTCCAGTTGATCCCGATTGTTGGCCCGACTGCCCGGACACAGCCTTTCCTATGATTTTACTCAAGTCAAGTCCCGCACCACCAGTGGTTTGGGATCCGCTGAGAGCGCCGTTCAGAGCACCGGACACTTGACTCTTAATTCCGTTTAAGTCTAAACCAACTCCATTGTTGGCACCACTGGATCCACTGCCAGACTTGCCATCACTCGACCAGTTGTAGGTCCACGAAGAGTCGCCAGTGTTTCCCGAGGACTGACCATTTTTGCCTTCAGTTCCAGATAAAGCGCCATTGATAGCACCGGTCAGTTGATCCTTTATACCACTTAAATCAAGACCAGTTCCAGTTTTTCCGGTGTTTCCAGTGGTATAATTATAAGTCCAGGAGCCAGAGTGACCGTCCAATTGACTTCCGACACCATTAAGAGCACCGTTTAATTGATCCTTAATAGCGTCCAAATCGATAGCACTTCCAATGTCTCCATTTCCTCCTTTGGACGACCAGTTGATATTCCAGTCGCCGCTATGACCACCATTGCCTCCAGTAACTGACCCACCGTTAGCTCCAGTGGTCACTCCGATTGAGGCATTTATGTCTCCCGAACCCGACTGTTGGTTAGAAGTGTGGCCCGAAGATGAAGAAGAGTGCGATTCATAACTGGATGTGTGTCCGGATTGACCACCAGTTGCGGTACCAATAAAACCGCCAACAGTTCCTTTGATATGTCCCTTCAGATCACCCAAAATATCTTTGCCTTTCGTGCAGTTGTGGGCTTTAGTTCCGTCGATTGTGAGTGAAAGTCCATTAGTGACTCCTTTCAAGATCTTATCCACTGATCCCGATAAATGACCTCCAATTTGGGTGTGATTTTTGGTGCAGTTGTGTCCGATGCCATGAATGACACCAGTGATCTTATCTTTAATGCCACTCAAGTCAATACCACTGCCTGTATTTCCGCCATTGGAAGACCAGTTGATATTCCAGTCGCCGCTTTGGCTGCCCTGACCGGCACCGGTACCATGAGTTCCAATGATTCCACCAGTGATTCCTGTGTTACCGGAGTGTTGACCGGTGTGGAGCACATCCTTAATGGTGCTATCCAGGTGTCCCTTCAGATCACCCAAAATGTCTTTGTTTTCAGTGCCGGTGTGTGTCTGATGTCCTCCTCCGAGTCCAATATGAAAATGGTGTTCCTCTCGGTCTTCTCCACTCTCATCACTGTCTCCTTCGACGTGTCCCTCGTGCTGTTGGCTCTCAAAATGGGTGTGATTTTTGGTGCAGTTGTGTCCCAAATGAATGTCAGCTCCTCCGATATGGCCGCCGATGTGGACACCGGTCTCTACATGACCCCCACCCACATGTCCTTTAACTGTACCCGTTTGCAAATGCCCTCCAATGTGGCCCTGTTGTTGACCCTGTTTGTTGGCATTGGCAATGTGCCCAATGGTTATTTGTGTCTGATTTTTGGTGCAATTGTGTCGCACAGGGATCCCGATGTGACCGATATGTGGTATACCGTGGATGGCATCAGTGACCTGATCTTTAATGCCACTCAAGTCGATACCACTGCCGGTGTGTCCCCCCTGGGATGTCCAGTCAACATTCCAGTCACCGCTATGGCCTTCACTATGACTTCCACCAGTTTTTCCCACGTGTCCGGTAGTGGTGTGGAGAACATCTTCAATGGTTCCCTGAAGGTGTCCTTTCATATCACCCAAAATATCTTTGCCATTGTTGCCGGTGTGTGTCTTGTGTCCTTCGAGTCCAACGTGGATGTGGTGTTCCTCTCGTCCCTCTCCACTCTCTTCACTGGAACTACTGCTGTCACTATCACTGCTATCGCTGTCACTATCGCTGTCTCCCTCGACGTCTCCCACGTGGCCGCTCACATGACCACCAGTCTGTCCAACGTGTCCGGCTTCAATATGTCCAATATGACCTTGCACATTGCCGTGCTCCTTGATCTCATGGTGTTCCCCACTCACATGACCGTTGGCGTGACCACTCAGGTGTCCGCTTATTATTTTACCGATAGTTCCCTCATGTTGTTGGCCCGCTATATGAGTGTTATTTTTGGTGCAGTTGTGTCCGTTTGCGTGAATATTAATGCCTCCCAAGTGGTGGTCCTCTGAGTGTCCCTCTGAATGATGTTGTCCTCCGTGAAGAACACCGCCCAAAAGGTGTCCCAATCCCTGTCCAGAAGTCTCAGACCATTCGATGTGATGCCCAGAGTTTCCATTTCCATCGATTCTGTGCCCATTGAGCGCACCTTCCAATTGGTGGCGCACCTGATCCAGACGTCCCTCTAGACTGCCCTTAATTTTGTTTGTGATGTCGACGGCACCGGTATGTTGTCCTTTAGTACAGGTCTTGTGTTCGTTCGCGTGTCCACTCAGATCTCCGAGAAGTCCATTCAATGAACCGCCCAATTGGTTATGCATCTGTTGGCTGATTCTGGCCGTCAGACCACCGGTAAGGCCACCAACACCTCCATTGAGTCCAAATGAGCCCAAAGAACCGTGAAGTCGATTATACATCTCTTCGGTCATTCGTCCGCTCAGTCCACCAACTGATCCCTGAGAGTCATGCAGTGCACCCCCGAGACTGCCTTTTATTTGTTTAGTGATGTCTACGGCACCGGATTGTTGTCCTTTAGTGGAAGTCTTGTGTTCAGTCGTATGACTTCCTGAGTGATCTCCACCCAAAAGCCCGCCCAACGAACCGCTCAGTCGGTTGTGGATCTGTTCGTTGATTCGACCGCTCAGACCACTCGTCAGACCACTGGTGAGTCCGCCCAGACCTCCATTGCGGACGCCGTTCAACCATCCCTGAGCGGATTGCCTCAAACCAGATCCAGTTGAGCCGGACGTGGATCCAAATGTGCGACCATTAGTTCCCAATTGAATATCGATTCCATGATTTGCTGCCAATCCGTGTCCTCCATCCAAGTCTTCACTACTCCACTCATAAGACCATCCGTTGTCTCCACTCTTTTGTTGCTCTCTGTCTTTGCCCCCACATCGCGGCTCAA